AAAGACAGAAAGAAAAAATGACTTCCCAGCCAAACTCTACTTTTCCCAGGGAAAAAAAAAGAAAAAAAAAAAAAAACTAAAAAAAAAACCCCAAAAAACAAAAAAAAACCAAAAAGCACCTTTTAATTTAATTAAAAAAGCAAAGTAAGATTAAGTTTATTGCTTTTTTTAGCCCTATCCAGAGTTAGAGACGTAAGAGAAGTAGATAGCTAAAAGGGAAGACCAAGAAACTCTTATTGGAAAATGGAAAAGCAATTTACAGTGGCTTTAATAGTCTTTAATAATACTAAGTAAACTTAACTCATATTTGGAAAGAGAATTAGCCCAATACAGTCATAAAATACATGCCCAGGACAGCAGGTAGTGTGGTGGTTAAGGTGCTGAACTCCCATATGGCTGACCTTAGTTCGAGTCCCAGACCCAGTGGCTTGAAACTCACACAGGGTGCTTATGTATACGTGCCCAAAATCCCAAGAGGAGAATGGAGAAGAGATTTCAGCATATCCATCCCCTGAGGGATGACTTCTCAGTTCCTGCTCACTGTCTCTGTCTCTCTGTGGTGAGCGCACATGTCCTATCAAAAAATCTAAAAATAAATAAATAAATAAATAAAACCCAAAAAAACAAAAAACACACAGTCAAAACATATGTACACAAGGCATGACTCCAATGCTCACTTTAACATAGTCTCTTGGAAATAGATACTGTCAGTAGTTTAGCTCAGTACTCTTGTTCAGTTTTCAGATGACCACCTTCTAAATTCTGTCACCATGAGCATGTGGTAGTCAGATATTAAAGTACTTATGCATATTACCTGACAAAATCAACCCAGAGTACTGGGAGAGATGAGAAATGACCAACTAAAATGTCTTTTTTTAATTGCAAAGACTGGGAATCTGGCACTTTTACTAGCAATCAAAGGCAGCAGCAAAACAGAGAAGTGTTAAAAGTAAAGGTGCTCTACTGGGAAAAGGGTAATGCCAGCCCCAGTTCTAACCTTGCCTCTAACTTGCTACATGACCTTAGCCCAACTCCGTCTCAGTCTTCTCATCTATGAAATGGATCATGGAACATGTCTTGCCAGTTGTACCTTCTATATACCCATACATAAGATGACAATTACACAGACACCTGATTGAAACCCAGTTTAACTTGGTTTAGTGAACAACTTCATGGCTTCAAAATGGCTCAAAGTTGGGACTAGCAGATGGCATAATGGTTATATTGCTGGACTCCCATGTAATCAACTGTGGTTAACGTCCTGGACTTGGCAGCTTAAAACTCACATCAGGCAAGTGTGCATGAGTTTTAAAATGCACAAATGTCCAAAATCCTGACAGGAGAATGGAAGAAAAGGGACTGTGGCAGGGCCATCCCCGCTGGGGGTTGATTCCTCTCCTTCTGTCTGTCTGTCTCTCTGGTGAGTGAATGTGCCTTATAGAAAAACTCTCTCTAAAAAAAAAAAAAAAAAAAAAAGGCTTAAAGTCAGCTCCTCTTTACCACCGCCAATATCTATAGCTCACCCCAAGCCTTCAGCCGAGTTGTAAAATTCTTCAACAACCATGATTTCCCTATCAATTCTAACTTTTCAAAAGGGATATGAAGAAATTGCACATAAGAATAAAACAAGAAATAATGAGTTGATAAAAAAAATCTTATTTGAATAAGTTAGTTCTGACATATCTTGAAAACTGTGACTTTCGGAAGTTTTAGAACTTTGATATCATGTAGGAGGAAGACGAATGTCTAGACCATTATCCCTTGGTCAGGCAGATAGTAAGGGGTACATATTAGATGCTATGGAAACGCAAAAGACAGACCCTACCTTCTGACTAAAAGGTCAAGAAGAAAGGAAAACATTTTTGTTTCAGGTCTACAAAAGCTAGAGGTCAGCAAAGAGCAGAAGTAGGATCAATGTGGACTTAGTGGTGGGTAATGGAGGCCAATTACAATTCTTGAAGAAGAAATACAGTTAAACTGCAAAAAGAGGCTAGCCAGGATAGTGTGGAACGCTTTCTCCAAAATATCTGTAATAGTAACAAACCTGCAATCATGAAAAAGAGGAAAAAGGAAGGATTTAAGTTTTAGAGACAGCCGAAAGCCACTGAAAGGTCACAACTGGAGAATAAGCTCAGGGATCACGTTTTTAGTAAAAATTAAAGAGTGGCTAGAAGTAATGAAAGCTATATTCTTGGGTGGTAAAGGACAGCCTTTATAATTGGTATCAAAACGGGGCTTACCATTGGCTTCCATGATGGTTCCATCACTAAAATAAATGTATAGCCTATCAGTAAGATCACTTTCAGGCATATTCACCTGGAAATATACATTCTAATACATTTTTTTATGTAAGTTTTTTCTTTTTAATTTAACTTTATTTATTTATTTATTTATTTAAATCTGATCAGAGAGGGAGAGGGAGAGAGAGAGAGAGAAAGAGAGAGAATAGGAAAGCAAGCCACCAGATCCGGGACTCAAACCATGGTCGCCATATGAGAATCCTGCAACCTTAACCACCATGCCACCTGCCGGCCCCATTCTAATACATTTTTAAAAAGCCTCATTAATTCTTTAAAAAAACCAAACCAAAACAAACAAAAAAACCCCAACAATATAAGAAGTCCAAAAAATTAGAATATTTTCAAGGTAATATTCAAACCCAGGCAACAAAAAAAAACTGTTGAAAAAGTATGATATACTAGAAGGTACTTGAATAGTTTCTCTCCAAGGTGCCAGAAAGTTTTAATTAAAAAATTAGCATACAAATAAAATATCTGGATTCAAAACATGTCATGAAACTATCAACAGCAAAGCTGACAGTTACATTTATTAGTGGTTAAATTGTAAATAAATTTTCATGATGTGACACAGGACTTAATATATACAATCTTACCACTGATTGATTTTAACAGAGGTTGACAGCTGCTATTTTAAAAATCCATCAGCTGTGCCTAATTCGTTACATTAACAGGTGAATGTGTAAAGTAGATACTTCAAAACTATGTTTATGCTAAGTCATACCATGTAATTTAATATTCATACAAAGGCTGTGACACTAGATCAAAATGCTTTAATATCTAAATGCACGAACTCAATGTCAGCCCTCTAAATACTACACACTATGATTTTCAATTTTATTTTACCATCAACAAGATGGTAAAATAAAATTGCTTAGCTTTAAGCAAAATAAAACTCATTCTGATATCCCTAAAGTACTCAAAATTAAGTATTCATACACACACACACACACACACACACACATATATATCATATACCCAGGGTATATGAAGAGAAAATTTTTAAAAATTTAAAGAAACAAAAAAAGGACTTAAAACTAGGCCGTCTGGTCATCTGAAGATTTACATCAAATACTAACTACAAATGGTATGGAAAGCACTGGTAGTACACGCACTGTTAGATACCAGATGATGACCCAGACTAAAGAGGAAATCCACAGTCAATGTGGTGTGCTGAACAATTTCAAGTTCATGATG